AAAACAAGCAAATCTGAATCATAAATAAATCATAAATCATTAGTTTAGTAAGTAATAAGTAAAGCCGGATTTATATTCTCTTAAAAAACCTAAAATATGATACTAATATTCTCCAAAAAAAAACTTCAAATATTCTACAACTCAAAATTGAACAAATCATCCACATTTTTTACTCTCATGTCATAAGACTGCATAGCCACAGTAAAAATTTATTAAAACATATAAATCTGGTCTACTATAATAAGTTAAGTTTATATTATAAAATTTGTTTTTACTAAAAATGTTACCAGGTTTAAACTGATGAACATTTTTTTTTAGGCTGCGCTGGTTGGTTATCGTACAAAAAAAGTATTATATTTTGGAGTAAAAAATAAGTTTTGTTCGGTGTGTGCGAGAGTTAAACCTAATGAAATACCTAAAAAACACGAATGTTTTAAAAATTGGAAGTCATCAGATGGGTCAGCTGGAATGGAAGCGTCAATAGTGGTAGAAGGTTTTAAACAGAGTGAATCGACATATGGCATTAGATACCATAAACTAATAGCTGACGGCGACAGTAGTGTGTATAAGCAAATATTAGATGCACGACCTTATAAACACTTGACGGTTGAAAAAGTAGAGTGCAGAAACCATTTGCTAAGAAATTTGTGTAGAAAACTAAAAGATATGACTACTCAGAAGCATTCTGGAAAATTAGAACATAGACAATTACTTGGGAAAAATATTCTAAGAATTCGAAAAGGTATTGTTAAGGCAGTTCAATATCGTAAAAGTAATAACCACTCGCCAAGAAGTTTAGAAAATGATATTATAAATTCTGTAAATCATGTCTTTGGAGAACATAGTAAATGTGATTCTTATTTTTGCAGTAAACCTAAAGAAATCAACTATATTGAAAAAATGAAAGCCATAGATTTTGAATTTTATTCTAATGTGTTGAAACATTTACGGTTTTTAGCTAGACATAGTAACAGTTTACTTCAAAATGTTGACAGTAATGTAGTAGAATCGCTAAATGGAATCATAGCTAAGTTAATTGGTGGAAAGAGAATACATTTTGCAAAATCCCGTTCCTATCAAGGACGTTGTGCTGCTGCAACAGTTATTAAAAATACAAAACGTCCTATGTATACTTTGTATAAAACACTATTACATCGAAGTCCTGCTGTGAAGTGTCCATCAACTCGACTTGAAGTACAAAGACATAAAAAACGTGTGCGTCAAAACGAGCTTAGAGTTAATACATACAGAAAACGGATAAAATTTACAAAAGAATATAATGACGAACAATCTTATGGACTCTTTTCTCAAAAACCGGATATGTCGGAGGAAGATTTCAATAATGAAAAAGAAAGAATTTTAAAATACCTAGAAGAAATGGCTACTAATCGAGAAGAAATAGAAAGAGAAACAGTTGAACAAAGTCAATCTAGAAAATGGTTGGAATTAAGAAGGTATTTATTGACAGCATCCAACTTTGGACAAGTAATATCGTCTAGGCCGGATACAGGTTGCGAAGGTATTTTAAAGAGCATGTTATATTCACCAGATCTTGACACTAGAGCGATGGAATATGGACGAGAACACGAACAGGACGTGAAAAAAGAATTAGAATTGGCGTTAGGTGTTGAAATAATGGAGTGTGGTTTATTCATTGATTCCAATAATGTATTCCTTGGAGCAACTCCTGATGGATTAATTGGACATGATACTTTGGTAGAATTTAAATGTCCTTTTTCTGCAGCTGATATGGACCCAGAAGAAGCAATATTGAATAAAAAAATTACATTTTGGAAAAAAAATAAAAAAAATGAAATAACTGGGATTAATACTAATCATAGGTATTACTATCAAGTACAAGGACAACTTCAAATAACTGGAAGAAAATATGGAATCATTGCGTTTTGGACTAAAAAAGGCATACGATTTGAAAAAATTGAAAGGGACGACAATTTGTGGAGTACAAAAATATTTCCAAAATTAAAAAAATTTTATTTCAATTGTTTGCTACCTGAGTTAGTTGATCCTAGGCATCCTAGATCTATGCCAATTCGTAATCCCGATTATATTTTAGAAGCGAAACAAATGAAAATGAATAAAAAATAAGTTGCTCATTTAATTATTTTTACTTTAAATTAAATCTGATTTTAAGTTATTACAATTAACAATATTTTTATTTTATTTTATATACCTATCTAATTTTATTCAAAAATATAATCCTTATTAAATATTAGTTAACATAGATGCAGTTGTATTAGGTTGGTATATTTATGTATGTTAAATTTCTATATATTATGTAGGACGTAGGTATTAGAATCATTATTAATTTTATACTTACATTAAATATTTTTAAATATAATTACATCAAATACTTTCACACCTTTTATTATATTGTCTTTTTTTAATAAAAAGTATATTACATGCTACATAATAAGTATTTTCGTTTTTATGTGGTCGACGTGGTAAAGTTTTGAAACAAACATTATAATTATTTTAAATTTAAAAGACTTGTATTTTTTTTTTTAATAATTATATAATAATATAATATACCCAACTGTGGTAAATCACACGTAATTGATTGGTCACAATAGTATCATCAAGTTAACATACGTAAAAATATTTAATATTTCATTTATTTTTCATTCAAATATTGGGTTTACATGTACCTATAAATTAATAAACTATTATATCAATAATAGGTGTAGAGTATAGACCTATTAACACCCCATAGGTGTAGTTGGGAAAAGGCGAAGTTAAAGAAGAAATAATTGGTTGGTAGTAATTTATGAAAAATACATCATCGTTTCATAATACATATTATAATGGGTATTTGTAATAATTATATAATTTATAAGATAGTTAGCTTCCATATTTTTACGCGTAATTAATACCGTAATATTATTTAAGCATTTTACATGATACATTGAAAACGTAAGTATGTAGTAGTATAGTAGTATATATAGTCATGCGTATGGAGAATGCGTGTAATGTAAAAGTAATAATAACGACGACACGGTCGCCGTTTATAGAATGACGCACCGCTCCAGAAATTATTAACAGCTGCTTGCCGTTCGCGACAGTGCCAGTGATTTTGTTTTAAGAGTGGGGGCTGTCGAATTGCAAACAACGCCATCTCTGGAGCGTTATTTCCGTTTAAACATCGATGTTGAATCCCCTTAACAAGAAGTGTGAAAAGAGGCGGCACATCGGCATGTGTCCGGATATAACGTCTTTGTCACAAAATATTATTTGTAACTGTTTCATTCAATAAAATTATTTTTTTAATAAAAAACAAAAATACTGTCTACGTATTTATAATAACATATAAGTTTTGATAATGTTATAATTTCTATAATTTATTTAGCATTGATAATCAAGGATAATATTATTTATCTTAGTAACTAAATATTATACTTTTTTTAAGTGTTGTTATGATTTAATTTAATAGTTTCTAATCAAACTAAAAAAAAACATATATTAGCAATCTGCATGACTGTATACATGTGTTTTAATTTTAAAATTATTGTACAGACCTCTAAAATTATTATAATTAAGATAATTTAGGTAACTAATAAATTCTTAGTTATGATTTTTATGACTTAATAAAAAATGTGTTAAAATACTAGAATATCCATTTTTTTCAAATAAAGGAAACAAAGTTACTAACTATACCATCGTATAAAATAAATAAATTAATTAATAATATCATTTTAAAATAAGATATTTTATTCAAGCATAATATTATACTACATAGGTATTTGTATTAATATTTTAATAAATTACTTACCGATCTTCAGAACTAGATATTAAATTATTTTATTATATCCATAGACTGCAATAGCACACGTTGTTGTAGCCGTGAAATTGTGACAATAATGACGAATGGTTATAGTATCATGAATTATGATAATAAGAAATAAAAATAAAACATTTTGGATACATCTAAATAATACTATTATCACTTACAATAAAAAAAAAAAAAACAATAAATTAAATTGAATAATTCGGTATACAGCTGACTGTTTGTTTATACTAGTCAATTTATCGCATGTGAATAACTTTTGTAGATATCATATAAACTTGATGACACAATTCGGTATTATTTTTTGAAATCAATATCTTTTCATTAGCAATGTTGAAAAGATAACAAAAATTTCATTGTCACATAATACAATGTAGTTAACCAAATATATTATTATTATCTTTTCGTATAGAAAGCAATTTTTAGTGTTATGATTTATGAGTTTTTCCTTATGTATTGCCTACGCGAATCGTTGAAACCGCAAACCGTTAATACTATCCTTAATTATAATTTATAAATAGGTAAAGGGTGACTATTTAAAAAAAAAAATAAAAAACGGTTCACATAATATTTTTTATTTTTTTTCAATTACATTTAAATTACAATTTATTAAAATAATGAAATAATAATTATAATATATTGCTCTCATTAAAACTGTTTAATACATTTTTGTATAAAATGTATAAAAAATCATGTATTGTTTTTATATATTTAAAGAGTTATTTAGATATACATATATATATATATTTTTTTTTTATACTTAAAAAGTTATTTAAACATTTTTATTTTATTTAATTATTAGTTATATAGGTATTTTAAAAGTTGTATCAATATCTATTGTAATACTTATTTATTACGAATAATTAAAAATATTCAACTGAGTTTTTTTCGTATATATACTTTATATATACTTCGAATATCTTTTAACGCCCATTTATATCTTCACTTTGAATAACAAATTGTTACCTATACATTTCATATCTATTAGTATAATCTATATACCAAATAATTTTGACAAAAACCTTCGTAAAATAACGTCTCAACGTATAAACTTTATAAAATTAGCTAATAGAATATAGGAGTGTGATATATTGGTTGTATAGATTATGTTAGGCCCTACAGTGAAAAAATTGTTCAACAAATTTTGAAAGTTGTCCAACATAGTCCAACAATTCACCAACAAATTTGTTGGATTAATTTAATCTATGTCTGCTGGTTTTGCGCTGCCAAGTTCACAAGGGTGAACAAATGGTAAAGCTACTGACCATTTTGTTGTAATCTTATCGTGCATCATAGCCCTGAGTATATTTTGAAAATCCTGATTGGCTCTTTTTATGGAACCTTGACATTGACTATGATGAGGTTTACTGTGAACAATTTTAACACCCTCCCACATTGAGCACAAATCCATAATAATTTTATTGGAAATCTCTCTCCCATTATCGGAATGCAGAATATTTGGTGCACCGAAAGTGAGGAAAATTGGCAGCAACGTTAGGGTCACTTCCTCTGCTGTCTTGCTCTTTAATGGTCTAAGCTGTATAAATTTAGTGAGATGGTCTTGATAATTGAGAATAAATTTGTACTCACCATCTTTACATGTTTGCATATCGACTAAATCAACTTGACATCGAGAGTTGAGTTCATGACTTATAATGGGCTTTACGACGATCCCTTTCCTCAGAACTTTTTGTTTCCTTTGACATTGAACACACAAGCTCTAAAATAATGTAACTGATTCATAATTTATATTTTTATATTTTGTTTGTAATTCACTAATTACACGGGTTCGTTCTCCGTGGCCTGTTTTGATATGGGCATCATGGATAATATCGAATAAATCTTTATTTTTCACGAAGTAAATTATTTTTGTTTCACCAGGTTTCAATGAAACAATAAGTTGGTTGAGAAACATTATTTTAACGACATCATATCTTTTCAATAACTTGCACACGGCGCGTTGCTTACTTTCTTTCCCCTTAGACTCAAGGGCGCCCGCAGGGGGGGCCAAAGGGGCCATTGCCCCTACTGGGAATTTTTTTAAACTATTGTTTATTAATGCCACGGCGCCACGCATATTAATTATAACATAATTTTATTGACTCAATTGACATTCATTTATGAAGTTATGTAAAAATTATTGTATTTTTAGATAATCTAAAAAAATAATCTTTAATGTATTCATTAGTTTACAATGTTTATAATAATCAGGCCTACGAAACTCCGTATATTGGCCGAATGTGGTGATTCTAGCCATCTTGGCTCTAACATCATGTTGGTGCGGCAAACGTTTCCGTGATAAAAATGCATTTCTATAGTACTTGATTTTGTTTTCATCTATTTTTAGATACACGTTATTTTTCCCCAGAAACGTAGACGGCAGCGATAAATGATAATGACCACAATAATATTTATATGGTTTCATTATAATAGGAACTCATATTTTTCATTTTCGTATCATTTACGTGTCGTATTTTTATACTTTTGAGTTTCGAGTTATAATGTGAGAAAGTGTGTTATGTTGACTCGTCTCGTTACTACTTATAGTGTGTTAATTATTAATATTAATTTTTAAAATTTGTCTTATAAGTTTTACATTTTTCTGCTAGTGGTTACATTGTAGTAATTAGTTTATTTTAATCATGAGCAAACGAAATACAACTTTGTATTCATATTTTTCAAAGAAAATTAAATCTAATGATGAAAAAAGTGGTTCGTCACGATCACAGGTTGAAGTAAATATTTATTTATTAATTAAATACTAGAAAAATTTATTTTTTTTATCAATTAAATTAAATAATTCAACAAAGTATCTAAATTAAAAAAAAAATGGTACCTATATTTTTTTAGATAAATTTGTATGATGCTTCTGTAAATGAAATTATACCATAATATAATATTGGCCTTTTTTTGAATAAAAATATCCAAGATAACCTACTTAAATACCAATTGCTTACTACACCATGGGTTCCAAATTCAACATATAACTTTAAAGCTGATGTTAAACAGGGTAAAAGACCCTTTTTACATGAATGGTTTAAACCAATATGATTGGGTTTGTTATTCTTCTTCTTTGAAAGGTGCATTGTGCAAATTTTGTGTTTTATTTGAATCTCCAGTTACCAAAGGAAGTGTCAAAGGAGCATTTATAAAAAATGTTTTTTGTAACTATAAAAAATTTCAAGAGCAAGCTAAAGCTCACTTAAGTAGTGAATGGCATAAGTTCACAACATTAAAATCTAAAGATTTTATTTCAATTATGCAAAACAAAACAACAAATGTTCACCAAATGATTGATAACTCGGTTAAATTAATGATAGAGAATAATAGATTAAAACTGAAGTCAATAGTTTCATCAATATTTTTCCTTGGGACACATGGTCTACCATTAAGAGGTCATTCTGATGATTCTGCATTATTTAACGATTTGTTGAAGTTAAGAGTAGAATGTGGTGATACTATTTTAGAGGATCATTTTAAAAATGCCCCAAAGAACGCAAGTTATTTATCTCATCGCATTCAAAATAATTTTATTACAATTTTTGGGACGGTTACTTCAAATAGTATTTTGGAACAAATTAAAAAAGCTGAATGTTATTCTGTTCTTGCTGATGAAACAATGGATATATGTGGAACAGAACAAATGTCTATATGTATAAGATATACTTTTAATGAAAACGGATTAACAACTATGAGAGAAGATTTTCTGGGATTTATAGCTCTTAATAAATTAGATGCAGAAAGTATTTCAAATGCCATTATTGAGTCTTTGCTTAATTGGGGCTTAGATTTAAATAAATTAATTGGTCAAGGCTATGATGGTGCCAGTACTATGTCTGGCCATATTAGTGGGGTTCAAAAACGAATTCAAGATAGGTATAATAAAGCAATATATGTACATTGTTCAAGTCACCGATTAAATTTAGTGCTAAATGAATTAAATTCTATAACAGAAATTCGGAACACAATTTCAATTATCAAAGAAACAATTAATTTTTTTAAAGAAAGTTCTCTTAGAAATTCAGTTGCTCCAAGTTTGACAAAGTTATGTTTAACAAGATGGTCAGAATCTCACAAAGCATTAAGAAAATTTTATGAAAACTATATTGATATTATTGAAGCCCTAAATTATCTTAAAATTAATGGCAATAGAGACACATCAGTTAAATCACTATATATTTTTAATTCGATAACTACTCTACAGTTTTTAGTTTGCTTAAGGGTTATTGCTAAATATTCAGCTGTTATAGAACCAGTCACTAATATATTATAAGGTGTAGATGTTGATTTATTTGGTGTACAAATACACATACAAAAATTAATAGAAATTATTTCAACTGACAGAACTAACAGTGAACAGGTTTTTAAGATTTTAATGAAAGATATAAAAAATTATGCTGATGATGTAGGTATTGACTTTGTAGTACCCAGAATTTCTTTTAGACAGACTTTAAGATCAAATCATCCTACAAAAAATCCTATTGATTACTACAGAATTTCAATTTTTATTCCATATTTGGACTCTATAATATCATCTTTAAAATGTCGGTTTGATGAAAAGAATGAAGAAGCTTTTTCTATATTTTCTCTACATCCAAAAAATTTAAAAAAAATGTCAATAGAAGAAATTACTGTACATCTTAATCGGATTAAGAAATTTTATGGAGAATTTGTGGATAATATTGTCGAAGAAGGTTTGATATGGTTCAATTTGTGGAGTTCAAAAGAAGTACCAGATATGATGGATTTTACAGATGTTTTAAAAGAAACCGAATTACTCCCTGCTATAAAAATGTGTGCGATGATAGCAATTTCTCTTCCAGCAACAACTTGTAGTGTTGAAAGGTCATTCAGGTATATTTTAACTGTAAATAATTATAAATATAAATTATAATTATAAATAAAAAAGTCTATTCAGGTATTTCATTCATCATTAAAATATATATTTTTTTACAGTTCATTAAAAAGGTTAAAGACATGGATACGTAATTCAATATCTGAAGACAGATTAAATGGCTTAGCTTTATTGTATATACATAAAGACATTGTTAAAAAGCAAAAACAAAAAATTATTGATAATGTTATACAATCATTTTGTATGCAACCAAGACGCATACAATTTTTATTTGATGACTAATATAAATATAATTAATTTGTGACATCTACATTAACATATATTCAAATAATATTAATATTGTATTGTAAATTTGTAAATCTACAAATAAAAGGCCTTATGTGATGACATAATGTTGTTTTTTCTGTTTAATGTAGGTTATGCTATTTAAGAATAAAAACACTAGAAATATATTAAGATTTAAAATAATAATTTTGATCTTGCCCCGGGTGGGATTTTATCCTGCGGGCGCCCTTGCTTAGACTTGTTATATTTTTCAGTACTTAAATAAAAATTGTTATCTTCTCTTTTTGTACTTAATATAGCGTTAAATTGTTCGTAAAAAACTTCTCGTTTGTTCTCCATTATACATTTGAACAATTAGTAACTCTAACGTAGCACAAACTCATTCACGATTCACAACAGTTTGCCTTTCCGTTCATGTAAGCAAGGTAAATGAACTACGTCGACACTGGTCGATATAAACGTATTTTCCATAGTTTTTGATATTTTTGATTATTTAATATTTCCCTAATCGCTAATTACGTGATTAAGTAAAAGCTACGTGTGTAAGAGAGAGATAGGTAGTGAGTACAGGCAGGTAGACTGATACCGTAACATTAAATGCATCTCTGATAATATTATATAGATCATTAAACACCGTACGATAAAATGGGCGGCACCCGTTTCGCCCAAAATCGACCTTTCCCGTTTCGCCCAGATACCCGTTTCGACCAAAGCCATTTTAGTCGTTTTCAAATTAAGTTGGCAATGGTTTTTAAATAATATAAATATATAATACATATATCATTATTAACTCATATTATTATTATTAGCTATTTTTATTTTTTAAAGTAATTTTGTATAGCATTTTTGATAAAATTAACCTTAAAAGTATTTTTTGACGAGCATTTTTTACAATTTGTTCATAAAAACATGTCAATGAACGAAAATACTGTAGTGATTAACAAAAGACTTTTGTCAATCTGCCGTCGGTTCTAATAATTAATTATATAGCACGACAAGTTTTCGTCGATAACAATTTTATCATAGCCAGGACTTTCCGCTCAAATTACCGACGTTATCGCTATATAGGTATCTATTTCAAGTTATCTCAGTTATTAGTAACTACAGTAAAATCCGCTTATAACGATCTTCAAGGGACCTAGAGAATTAGATCGTTATATCCGAACTTCGTTGTATCCGGAAGACAAAAAAAATTGAATATTATTTGAAAAATGTATTTATTAAACAAATATGTACATATATGTATGTATATTGTATATGTATGTGTAATATTAATTAAAAAAAAAAAAAAATAGTATTTTGTCTACAACTGGAACAATACAATTTCCTAACATAATTTTTAATATTTTTTTAAAAAAATCAATTATAGTACTTTGTCTATAACTAGAACAATACGATTTCTTAACATAGTTATCAATATTTTTTAATGCCATAGATATTTCTGGTGTATTTATATCGCTGTTTAACGAAACAAAAGTACGTACTTGATTAATTGAAAAATACACTTCCGAAATAGACGGTGCCTTATTTACAATTTCTTCCGCCTCATCATCGTTTTCGTTTTCATCCTCACTTGCATTCAAAATAGAACTGACTATTTCTTCTTCATTCGGTTCTGCATTGGTCCATAGAGCATCATCAGCCTCGACGAAATGTTGAAAGTTTTCTCTTGGGAAGAAATCTGATTCGTCACTTATCGTTTTTGTTTCATTATACACTGCATGAGAACCCAGTATGGCGGAAACAGTTCTTTATTGTAGTGGTAGAAATATCATTCCATGCATCTGAGAGCATTAAAATTGCATCCAATACTGAAATTTTTGATTCTTTTCCCTGTTCTTCTCTATTTATAATTTTAAGTACCAATTGTTTTCGAAATTTTACTTTTAATGCCTTGATAATACCTTGATCCATAGGCTGAAGTATTGATTTCGTATTTGGAGGGAGAAAAACCAACTTTATGAAGTCGAGATTTTGAACAGAAGGATGGGCCGGACAATTGTCTACAGTCAATAGAATATGCCATTTTTCTTCTGCCAGTTGTTTATCCCATTCTTTTAACCAATTTGAAAAAATTTCTCCAGTCATCCATGCTTTTTTATTGTTTTTGTAGTCAACGGTAAAGTTTTTGACATTTTTAAAACATCTCGGAGTCTTAGACTTTCCAACTACCAGCAGTTTTTTTTTGTCAGAACCATCCATATTAGAGGCTACAAGAACCTTTAGTCGATCTTTAGATAATTTACCTCCACTGCACGTTTCCCCTTTGAAACGTAATGTTTGAGACGGAGTAAGACGAAAAAACAGTCCAGTTTCATCGGCATTGTAAATGTTAGAAACTATATAATTTTTACACAAACCAGACCAAACTTGCTCCAGCCAATTTTCCGAAACACCAACAGGGACACTTGCCGATTCTCCACTTATTTTTCCAAAAACGATATTATGTCTTTGGCGAAAACGGGTAATCCAAGAAGAAGAACATTGAAAATCTGTCTTATGAAAATGCTTCCCGAATTCTGTCGCTTTTTCTTGAAGTATTGGATCATTTATTGGAATATTTTTAGATCTTTGGATTTTGAACCATTCCAGGAGAGCCTGTTTCACATCTTTATGTTGACTAGATTTTATCCTTTTGTTAGATGTGACGTCTTTTAGAAAAATGTTTTTTATTTGGTCTTTCGATTTCCATATGGTAGACAGAGTCGATTGACTGATTTCCAGCTCTTGGCAGAGAACTTTATTTGAAACACCATTTTCTAATTTTTCAATTATTTTCACTTTTTCAGCGATAGAAAAACAACGACGTCTTTTATTTGACATTTTAAAAATGAACGTGTTTAAACGGATAGAAATCAAAACGGTGACTGAAACGATACTGACACGTGTAAGACTTGTGTGCTGTTTACGATACGCATATTTATGTTATTGTTGTACACGTATAGTAAGTATCTACTCGTAATTACAGATAAGATTACGAATTATCGCACCGGACAAAATCCATTTTATTGTTATAAATACATAAAAAAAACCAATTTTCATTTCAAAATAGTATCGTTATATCCGAATTATCGTTATAACCGATATCGTTATATCCGATCAAAATTACTGCACATGAGATATAAAACCAACCAAATACATGGCTGAGAATCGTTTTATCCGGAATATCGTTATATACGGCATCGTAATAAGCGGATTCGACTGTAATTAGTTTTTTATAGTGCATTTTTGGATTTTTTAAGTCATTTCTGCATTTTTTTTATAGGAATTTTTCAAGATTTTTTAGAGCATTTAGATCCCAGCCCTACAAATGACCAATTAATATTGTCCACTAAAAACTATTTTAAAATAATAAGTGTTTGAGTTTCATTTATCGTTATCGAATACAGTATATTTTATTATACTATAGACTGCTATATTATAGTCATTATAGACTCGTAATTGTAGCGATCACATACTATCTTCCGATAACATCAAATTAAAGACATGTTAGTCGACTGAAGGAGTTCCCACATTAATATAACAGTTACCTAAGTGACGTAGTATAAGTTAGAAGTCGTTAGTTATTGAGTTGTGAACAGTTTTAGCTTAAATTTTAATGATGGCTATGTTTATAAAAAGTAAGCGAGATAAGGACATGGTGGCTTTTAATAAATTTAAGTACAATTTCGCTTCAAAAAATGTAAATACTGATGGAATTCGTTGGCGATGCATGAAACGTACGTGTTCAGCTACATTATACACGTCTAATTTTAAAGTGGTGAATGAAGAGGATATTTTAAACACTGACCAGCTTCGACATAATCATAATTCGTGTAGTGATTCAGAAATAAATCGTCAAATAGTAAGTGTTTCATGTAAACGAAAAGCTACTGAAAATCTTTACATACAGCCAAAAAAAAATCATTTTAAAAGAGTTATCAGAAAACACTTAACTTACTGATGGTTTTACTTCAAATGATTTTAATGTGATTAGAAAATCAATTTACAGAAGTAGGCGTAAAGTTCTTCCTCTTATTCCAACTACTATAGCTGAAGCACATATGGCTCTAAATACACCAGAAACCACTTTTACTACAAAAAACGAACCATTTGTGTTAGTAAATGATGAAATAAAAAACATAATAATCTTTTCTTGTAAAACTAACCTTACATTTTTATGTAATGTTATGGAAACAATTTATATGGACGGCACGTTCCAATTTTGTGCTAAATTCTTTGAGCAAATGTTTTGTATACATGGTTTTAAAAATGGTCATTATATACCGTTAATATTTATTTTACTTCCGGACAAAAAATATGAAACATATGTGTATACTTTTAAATCAATAGTAAATAAATGCAAAGAATTAGGCCTAGTTTTTATACCAAAATTTGTTACTATTGACTTTGAAAAAGCTATTCATTTAGCAGTCAATGAAGTTTGGCCTTCATCGCAAATAGTTGGTTGCCGTTTTCACCTTACACAAGCTTGGTATAGGAACGTTCAAAAATATGGTTTAGCAACTGAATACCAAAATAATACAAGTATTGGTAATTGGATTCAACATACTTTTGGCTTAATATTTTTAGAACCTTCTAAAGTATCTGATTGCTTTACTCAAGTTTAATGGCTGAATGTCCAACTGACGAAAAATTAGTTAAGTATTGTGATTATTTAGTAGAAAACTATATTTCTGAGGACAGTGTTTTTAGTCCAACATTATGGGCATGTAATTCGGCGAGTATACAGCTCACAACAAATGCGTGTGAATCGTTTCACTCGTATTTCAATAAAAACTTTTATTCTAACTCTCCGTCAATCATAAGCTGGTTAAACATTATACGCAATGATATTCAGACAGTAACGTACATCAAAATGAATAGCGTTGAAATTCCCAAAAAAACAAAAGATAAAAAAACGAAGGAAAGACAAGAATTTAACGAAAAACGTATACTTTTATATAGATCTGGTGAAATTACTAGATATGAGTTTGTAAAAAGCATGAGTAGAAATTATAATAATAATTTTTGTTAATATATTTTATGATGACTTTTAGTAAAAAATAATATAGTGTTTTTTTGTATTATTACTGTAATAATGTATAATTAAATAAGATGTATTTTATAAACATTTTTTCTATGACTTTTTTTAAAAATAGCTAATAATAATAATAAGAGTTAATAATGATATATGTATTATATATTTATATTATTTAAAAACCATTGCCAACTTAATTTGAAAACGACTAAAATGGCTTTGGTCGAAACGGGTATCTGGGCGAAACGGGAAAGGTCGATTTTGGGCGAAACGGGCTGCGCCCGATAAAATTATTATACATTTCTACTCAAACATAATTTTCCCTTCAGCTATTGTGTGAGCAATATCATATCTATAAGCATTCACAATCTTAACGTATGACACGATATACCACACACTAATCATTGAATGTCTATATTTCAATTTTAACTAAACATTTCTAATATTCATCAAAACTCAATATTGTGAATATCAACATTCACCAAACTCAATTGTGAATGTCAACACTCACTGATAATCGCTGTGACTGTTGGTAATTTTTTAATATTCATTCAACATGTTGACATTCACCAAAAACAGCAGTGGATGTCAACATTCACCGGTGAATGTCAACATTCACCAAATGCTGACATTCACCTTAACATAATCATTAATCATAAATATTATGTTATTCGCGGGACAGGTACTGGGAAATAGATATAACAAAGTTATTACCTACTTACTTATTTATATAAAATTAATAAATATGTCATTAACAACAATTTACAATAGTAATAAAATATAATATAATAATTGATTATTATTATAAATATTATTCGTGGAATTATTATTTATATATATGTAGTATCATAGTAACAATTACCAATATAAAATAGAAACGGAATTTTAAATATTTATAGAATATTCATTACATTTGACTACAGATTGTTAAGACAATAAGACACCAGTACACTTGTATAGGCCGTATCGTTCTTATGATCATTGATCGCCGCCCATCGGTTTCAGACTTCAGTTCACAGTTGCCTAATTTTAATGTTCCATGTTAGTGGTATATATTTTGTGTACCTACATTTATTTATTTAGATTATTATTTTAAGGTAAGCTTTTTAAATTACCCATGTATTTTAATATTTATTTATATGTGTCTTTAAAAATATTTTGAACTGAACCAGACCGGACATTTTTTTATCAAATATATTTTATTCGGATCGGACCAGATTTATAACATACAAGAAATATCCTTGGACCGAAAGAGATTTTTTTAAAGTTTTGGAAAATTTTCAAGCCGGGCTGGACTGTAAATTGATGGCTTTTGTAGCCTGCAGGTCTATATATAGGTACCTATCTGTTATATTTTATTTTATACCTTATAATAATAATATATACTTACATAGATTACTTTGTGATATCTGGTTATCTGGTTCATTTTTAATAAATCTTCAGAATATTTTTCAAATTCACTTATGATATTGGTTTTTGTTGTAAACAGCTCATTAAAATCAATATCCATCTGGGTATAGTAAAACAATGATATTATACAACTTATATTTCAAATGAGTAAACCAAATTATTTAATTTTTATGATTTTTTTATGGTAAGCAGTGAATAAATGATAAATTAACTTAGAAATGGTAATTAATATTTTTTGTTTTCGACTTACAAGCTTGTACCCTAATAGAATTGTATAATTTTTTCATTCATTTATTACATTTGTTGTTGAATTTGAACTGTTTATGTTGTCGCCGGGACAGCACGTGCAATTCCTAGCCGTTTGCTGTCACGACTCGCGGTGTGCTGAGGATAAAAAGGGTTACTCGTAACAGTATAATACAATTATATAGATACAACGTAATAAAAAATAAATATTTCACAACAATGATTAATATAATAACTGATCACAGCTCCAAAATAGGCAATATAACAATATTAACTTAATGACCAATTTAAAAAAAAAGGGCGCCCAAAAATTATAGACCTACATAGGTCAACATATATAGATATAAAATAGAAAGGAGAAACAATATATAAGTAAATTCACCTAAAACGTGATACAAAATAATAATAAATAAACCACGAAATATACACAACCAAAAACGACCTGGCAATTCCGCAACTGTCTTCTGGAGATGAAAAATACGATCGTTGGTCTAATAAGATGCTGTTCCAACAATGGATTATACTTGTCCGTCACTTGTATGACACGCCTCAAGTTGTCGATGTTGTTGCGTGCCAATATCAGATCCAGATCCAAGGTGTTATTAAAATGAATTGTACAACTTTTAATTACAATAATGTTTAATCTATATAAATAAAATACATGTAACTGATATAAGAAGTGGCTGAGTGTCGTGAAGTTGCTCTGTTCTTCGTAGCTCTGGTACATCTGCCTTTGTTGGTCTTCGGACTCACTTATATACAAGAAAATCTCTTGTTGTTGTAATCGTCAACCTTCCAATTTAGATTAATTCTTGGAATTGTTTTCACATTTGAAACAACAATCTCCTGGATGTTATCGTCTTACTGGCAATTCTTATAAATGCAAAACGACCTCGCCTAAGAACTACTATTTTGATTTATTACAATGTTTTTACAAAATATGAATCTAATATTCGTATACATTATAATTATTAGATTACATATATATTTAGATTACTATTGCTAACACCTATAGCAATATTACACATTATATTACATATTAGCATATCTCGTAGCTCATGAATATTATATTATATTTATATTATTAGTATATCTCGTAGCCCATAACAATGTACTGTGGTACACAGGTAATGCGCACATTTACCAAAAATAACCACGAGGTTTTGTGTGGTAACGCACAGGCGGCCTCGAGCCGGCACGCACTAACAAAATTATATAAAAAAAAAATATGAATAAGACAACCAACCAGGTCGCCTTCCAAAAAAGGTTTTTAAGTCGCAACACGCGTGATGGCGACGGGCAACACACCACGATATGTTCCGTTCGGTGGTTGCGAAAAGACACTGACTACGTATATTATATTAAAAAGGTCGACGGGCAAAACCAGCCGGATCCATATCTGTCTCGCGACGATTATATCGCACATGGGATAATTATGATACGATAGCGGAGTCTTATGGCGGCGGGAGGGAAGATTTACATTTTTCTGAACCGGTGGGCAATTAAAAAGATACCGAGTTCGAACAGTTTATTTTCTGAAGTCTATATTGTACAGTAGCCTTCCATTGCTCTTGCAATTCAGGAAAAGAGCTATTGCCATATTTTATTACATCCAACGTATCATTAATATCAGTTTCTGGTGCTAATTTTTGATAAAAATTAATATTTAATTCATGTTTAAAATTATTTAACAGTTAGATAATTTAGACTTTTTAATAAACTAATTAAATTATAGGCACTAACTAAAAGTATTATTTCTTGATGTGATTATTGTACTTGGTTTTGGTTTCTTAACATTGAACAATAAACCACTTGTCTCCAGTGATCTCATACAATTATAATATTTTGCATATAATTATTTACCTCGTGGTGCATTTGTTGGGCCATGACGCATAAAATATGTATCCTAAAATTTCATATTACAAATGTATTAACAAAAAGTATTGATTGACCATATAAATGAATATAAAAATAAACTTTTATGCATGAACAATTTCTAAAAATCATGTTTCAATAAATATTTATATAATATTATATAGGTAAATACAAAATTTTAAAATATATTTTTCTAAATTAATGCATCGACATCATATAAAGGCATTAAACTATAAAAGTAACATATAAATAGGTACCTTTATTTCAGATGAAAACATACAGACAATTTGATCAGCTATGCCATCAGCCAATTTAATAGTCATTGATGTTTTAGAAGAAATTATGTAATGTATTATCATATCTACTAATTTGCATCTAATCGAGTCGTTTAGTTTTCTATTACTTTTAAAATAGTCAAGAACCAATTTTCCATTGGCAGAATCGTTTAATATATTGAATACTTTAATTATTGATTCAACAGGTAAAGTTTTGGGTTGTTGATCTTTTTCAGATATTATAACTGGATCTGTTTGTATTTGTAGTTGTTGCCATGTTATCAACTCTTTTTCAAATTTTAATTGTATACCTTAAGTATAATTTTTTAACAACCTTTCAACGTGCTTTGGTTTCATATACTTTAACACCTCGATGGTAATTGTTTGATCTATAATATATAATATTGCATTACTTTTAATTGTATTTATACACATGTATTTTTATTGTAAATGTTGTAGGCAAAGTAGAAGACAGTAAACTCTATTAAGATTGAATACCAAATATTTAGATTTTAGTGTTATACCTAGGTTAGGTATTTTCAATATTTTCATTTAACACATAAATATATTTAAATTTTATTTAAGCACCTTAACAATTATATTTCTAATTCTTTATTTCAAACATACCTAAACATATTTCAGTTAGAAAACTTAAATTCCAACTTTCAAATATTAATTTTAATTGATTTTTTTCTTCTTCTGGTATTATAATAAATGAAGATTGATTACAATCAGTATTATCCTGTAAAATAATTATTCAAGTAAAATATTTTACTTTATTTATGTAAAATAAAATAAACAATTCAAATTATACATACAAGTTGTATTGGTGTTTGATTTTGAATATTTTCTTCATTGATAACAGGAATGATTATATTGTCCAAGTTAGTAAAATTAATATCAATTTCTTCAAAGTCGCTTTCAGAACCAATACTATTTTCTGGCCATATAATTTCTTGAGTATACGTCATATTGAACTGTATTTGCTACTTAGTTTTTTTAAAAACTAAATTTAGATAAACATTTTTTTTATAATTATAAATTTGTTGACAAATTTTAGTAATGTGAAATGTAAAAATTGTAATAAAAAGAAACTTAATATTTAAGGTAATATAAGTAATATATACAAGTTTAATACAAATATTTGTAAAAATAATTGCATTGTAGGTTACACAACTATTAAAAAAACTCTTTTAACCGTACAAATGTATGTCCA